AAAGTGTAATAAATAAATAAATAAATCTTCCAAGGATTACTGACAAGAACATCTGTGATGCCTTAAAGCCTAGCACATTTTATGTACCCTGAGTTTTCATGGACTGTAGCTTCCCCTGCATTCCACAAAGGCTTAAGCTCAATAAAACCTGTTAGCCTTTAAGACGCCCCAGCCTCCCCTTCTTCTGCTGCTAAACAGCGAACTGCAAGAATTCTTACACCTCAAAGAACAGCTGTTTTCACCTGCCCTTATGCTCCCTCTCTTGCTTCTTCCTCTTCCTCTGTTCCCCTGTTTTCCCACTGCCTTCCTCTCTTCTTCCCCAGCCAAAGCCACCTGGCCTTCTCAGCCCATCCCCTGAAAAGCTACCAGCCCCTGCTCCCATTTGTAGTCCTTTTTTCTGGGCTACAAGGAACTTCTCCAAGCTCAGCTCACACTGGGAGAGGGCAGAGCAAGTTCTCATCCACCCTAAATCCAGACTTTAGACCATTGCAGGGGGACCCGGAGGGAGGCAGTACGGTGGCCCAGTGGTTAGCGTGCCCAGCAAGGACAGAGCGGTCTTAGCTCACGACCCCTTTCCGCCACAGAGCAACCTAGTGAAGTCCTTCCTACCCAGCCGACCTCCACTTTGGAAGACAAATATAGGGTGAGGATCCTCCATGCTTGCCTGAGGAAAGATGAGGCATAAACAAGATATAAATAAACCCAGAGTCACGTAGGAGTGAGGTGGTTCAGTAAGGTCTTGGGGGACCTGGTCATGAAAGCCACGGGGTGATGTATGGCCAGTCATCCTCTCTCAATCCAAGCTACCTCATGGGGCTGCTGTGAGGATAAGCATAGAGGGCAGCCGAGGTACGGAGGTAGCCTTGCTCTCGCTGAAAGAAGGGTGGGATATAAATGTCATTACGCACCAATAGATAATGTGTCCCATCAACACCCCATAGGCATCCTTCAGTCTCGAGAGACTATGGTAACATGCTCTGAATCGAGGAGTGTCCTCTCCAGAGCACGAAGCCTGGATAGAATAATATGGAGGATAGGCTGTTACCCAAGCAGCAAATCCCCCCTCTCCACATCACTGAAATGATCCAATGGAAAGGCAAGAGCCAATACAACTGGTTCCAGCAATGTCGCAGGAGTTGGCAGAATGACACGAACAGCCTTCGGGACTCCAGCTCCGGATTTTGCCTCTAGGTTGACTCCTGAAGCCTTTTCCATGAGTGGATATAGCCATGAGGTAGTGGAGGTTTGAAATCGGAGTTTTCCTTCTCCTAGATGGGCTGCCTTCCATGGCTGACGAGCCCCACCTACCCGGCAACACATTCTACTGTGATCTGCAGTCAGTGAAGAACCGCTGGATAGCTTAGGGGTTGAGGTCTCTGGTTGAATAGCCAAAGGTTGGGAGTTCAATTCCCCACTGTGTCTCATTGACAGGGGATGGACTGGATGATCTCTTGACTCCATGATCTCTTCCGTTCTCAGAGGATGATGATGATGATGATGATGAAGCCCTCTAGCTAACATGCACCTACAAATCTAGCAACCAAACCAAAGAGAAAGCTTTACGGAGAGGGGCTGTAGCTTTTCGTGGGTTCCCATTCAGAAGAGGTTGGGTGTGGGCATGTCATCTACATCCTGGATTTGCCTCTCAATTTAAGGTGCTCCTCAACACCGACTGGTTTGCGAAAATATCTGACCTTGTGGCTTCCTCACCCACCCACGTCTTCTGGTGCCATCCACTCTGTCTGTTCTTTTTGCATTGTGCGGAAGACCAATGAGTCAGCCCAGAATGCCATCGTCTTTTTTGGGACGACGACCTAACAGGGTCTGGTGCTGGCACCCCCCCGCCTCCCCATGACCCAGCATCTGCCAAGCACCAAATGATCCGCGGTAGGTATCTGGTTGTTTATGATCAATGGCAGCCGCTGTGCCATGCCAAAGAGCCGCAAACCCTTGCTGATCGTTTTGACAGCTGGTTGGCATGAATTATGCATCACCTCTGTGCCCGCGCCGAGTCCCCAAGGCGGAAAGGAGATGATCAAAAGAGCAGGGTGAGTGTGGAGGCAAGGTTAAAATCAAAATCCACTTCTGCCAGGTGTTGGGAAGAGTGGAGCAGGAGCGACAGACAGGGGCCCTGGGTGCCACGTTCCTGACCTTTTAAAAACTAGCATTAGAAATACAGATGCAACCAACGTTTGCCAAAAGAGGATGGAGGTCAAAAACTAGAGTTTGGGGAAAGTCCAACTCCTGCTGTGAAAGTTCCCAGCAAAAACAGCCAAATCAACCTTTTCCAGGGTCTATGCATTCTTCTTCTGACTGGATAGCTCAGTGGTTAAGAGGTTGGGAGTTCGATTCTCTCTCTCTCTCTCTCTCTATCTCTCCCACACACACACACACACACAAACACACACCTCTCTCTCTCTCTCTCTCTCTCTCTCACACACACACACACACACACACACACACACACACACACACACCTCCCAAGGCTCACCCTAAGTCAGAGCTGACTTGAAGGCATACTGTTTTTATTTTAATTGTTATCTATTCTTCTTTGTGCTTCTCATTGAAATAAAGCAGGAAGTCCTCTTTGGTGTGGCATCCACCAGATGTGTCATGCATGCTTCTTCTCTGCTACATTTTTTGCTGTACTTTAAATGCATAGTTCTCACCCCTGGGGTCTCCAAAGGGTTTGGACTTCAACACCCAGAACCCCTGACCCTTGGGGATGCTGGTTTCTGGGAGCTGAGGTCCATCGAGGAATGGTGGACCTAAGACTGAGAACCCCTGATTGGCACCATCTCCTGCAGCTTCCTCAAACCCTGCATAGCATCATGTTTCCGAGCAAAGGGGATTCGTGTTTTGAAGAACCCGACCATGAAAACTGTAAGATCCACACACCGCAGAGTGGGCATGAAACAGGGAACGGTGTGCCAGAAATTCACAGGTGCAATGACAGATCTGTTAAATTCTAATTTGGAGGCAGCAAGAAATTTGGCTAAGATCCTGTTACCATGCGGGGAGAGTACAACGTTCCACACACCTTTCTCTGTGCAGCCTCTGACTTGCCATGATCCAAGCTGCAGACCTCCTCAGTGGAATAAACAGGACTTATTCTAGAACAGGGAAGTACAGAGACACCTCCTTGCACGAGGGGTGAAGGGATGAGGTTCACGAAGGCCATGGATTCCACACTTGAGGGACTGACCACCAGCCATGCACCGGGGGGTGGGGGCCAAGGGAGAGCTGTCTCCGGTTCATGGGCAAGATTCCGAATCAGGGATAGGCACGGCCTTTATCAGACCATCAAAATTTCCTGTTAAGACTCACCTTTCCAGTCCTACTAGATTCTTCTTCAGCCTGGGTTAGTGCCGAGCTGGAAAGCAGAAATAGTTCCCAAACGTCATCCTGCTAGAGGTCGGAACTGCAGGGATCCATAGCGAAAAGTGCCAAGGTGCCAGCTGCAATCCTGAACCACCAACTGGAGGCTTGGGAGGGTCTTGAGTGTCACTGGACCTCAGCGGAAGTAGAATCCGGCTCTTTGTCGGTCCGTAAAGACTAGCGTTTCTGGTTCTTGGCAGGACATCTGGGACGCTCAGGGGCCCCTTCAGTGATCCTGTGAATCAGGGCCACCACTGAAATCTTACAAAAATGATAAAAGCCCCTTTTCCCTGAGTGAAGCACTACCTTCATAACAGGACAAAGGCAGACTGGAAACAGCAGGGAAGAAATGAAAGAGGGAAATCTTCCCCCTCTCTTGTCTTTGGACCTATTTCACAGAATACCTGAAGTTCCTTAGACTGGATCCCATCTGGAGACAGAAGGTTTTGTGCTGCAGTGAACTCTCCATGGCCCTTTATAGAAAAGTGTAGTTCCTGTTTCACCTGAGAGTACTATTCTGCTGGAGTTTTTACAACCTCGCATGCAATCTGTGGTTTGTATGGCTGGGAGGGACCTTTCTGGGCTGGGCTGGCTGTCAATCTATCCAGCATGAACCAATCATTCCTTTCCATCTCTAAATTCAAGGAGAGCCCCACCTCTCTGCTGAGTGCTGTTTCCCTCCCCCCCCTTTTTTTAATCAGTTAGAAGCAGTAGTTTGGTTGTTAGTTGGCTGTTGATCTGTTCCCAGCTGTAAGTAATGAAATGTTTTTATTTTCTCCTACTAAGGTCTCCAATTGAGTTATTGAGGCCTTAAGTGCCAGTTAATGAGAAAGAAGTGAACTATCTGGGAAACTGGTAGCTATTCCCCTTCATGATAAGTCTCTGTACTTCTGCTGCACAGCAAAAGGAATTTCGACCAGAAAATCAAACTCTGCAACATGTTCATAGCTAAAGGATCTCTGTAGAGTCAGACCCATCTCATAATCCTAGAATTCAGAGTCACAACACCACAATGTCCACAGGAGCTCAAGGGTGGATGGGGCATCTTGTTACTGGGGGACCTGACTGGGCACCTACTAAGAGAAGTACGGAAACTGGCTTAAATGAACTATTGGCTTCTCTCGCACCATTGAATCCCCACTATTCTGCATGGGAGAGGGGTCAGTTGAGGTCACGTGGAGCATGTACTGCTGATGGGGTTTCACGACCCGCCACCTATGCAGCCACGTGGTCCCCGAGAACCAGCAGAAAGAGGGCCCGGTGAACTGCGTCTGAGTTCTTTACATCTAGCAAGCCCTGAAGGGGTCAGCAAACATTAATATTGAATTGACAGCACATCATCATCATCACTGCTCTGTTCACACCCAACCAGTATGCTGTTTTTCCTGGCTGCAGACTTTCCACTTCTCCGGGCCCTCAGGTTCAAGACAAGTAAGAATATTTCAAAATAACGAGTCATGAGATGTCATAAAGACCTGCCGGCTGGGATGCCAAAAACACCTATCGACTGTAATAAATTTGGTACTCTTTAAGCTGCCACAAAGACTCTCTGTTGTTTTTTTTCCGCGCAAGAGGCACTGCGCTCCTGGAAACATTTAAAAACTCATGGCCAAAATGTAGGTTCTCCCTGCACTGCTTCTTCTCACTCTTCATGCCAGCTTGAGAGGCTCCTGATGTACACGGGCCTGGGGGTTTGCTGCCCACCTGAGTTGCTGTGCACTCAGGCGGAGGGCCAGAGAGGGAGCTTCCTTCGAAACTTCATTCCTTCCCTGGCAGCCGAGGCGACGCGCAAAGCACCAACTTTGATCCGGACAACTCAGCATTTTTGGTTCTTGAAAGTTCTGTTACATCAGAAGTGAAAGGAGAGAGAGAGAGCAAGGCAGGGGGAATGAAGCCATAAAGTGCTCACTGGAAGCGATGCTTAAAACGGCTGCTTGGCAGAGGCTGCTGAGGCCAGGCTGGCCTCTTCCTCCTTGGTTAAAGGACCCCAGATACCTGTGAGCCATCTTTAGCCTGCGTTTATTGTTCTCGTTTGCCTCGGCAAGTGGAGAAACATGCAAAACTGCTAATGTCCTTGGCTTCTCTGCGCCTGCAACGTGTAAACACGAACTATAAAGAACACGAGCAAACCAGTGGCTAAAATAGATGGTATTCTCAGCACAACAAATCATTGTGTTTTTGCGCTAAACCCCATCCCCCCCTGCCCCAAAACCTACAAAAATTGCACTCCTTTTGCAGAGAATGTTTATACCTTGGATTTGCAGTGACTGCCCTAAAGAAAAGTTCTCCCTAAAAGCCACCCCCTGCTCCCCTTAGCAGAGCTCTCCACCTCTGCCCCTGCTGACTCTTGCAAACTGTCGTCTAGAGAACTACAACAAGGTCACCTGGGGAAACCCAATTTCCACCCACGCCGATAACACCCTATTTTCCCCACTGTGTAGTCATACTCGTGGAAGGGGGCTCCTAACCATGAGAGGCTCGGACCCTGACCCTCCCCTTCAACGGTTCCCTTGCCTGCCTCTTCTCCTGCATCCAGGTGTAGCCATCGCCCCACTCTGCTTTTCTCTCCTCCAAGCCAATTGCAATATACAGTATACCCTTTTTATAAGCAGGGCTGCGTGTATCCTAGGCTACTGCAATCTACAGGAAGCCACTAAAACCTGCTCGTAAACCATCTCCAAACTTCCCTGTTATAACTAACCCCGCATTAAAGGGGAGGCTGGGCTTTTTTTACAGCTGCTCTTTGATTTCCCAATCTACAAGGCAATGGGTGTAAGGTACAGCAATGAATCTTAGCTATGAGACTTTTAAACAGAACCAGCATAAACTTTAAAGCCTCTCGAGGTGGTTGCTTTTTTTTAAGTCCCTCCTTTCCCCCCTTCCTTCTCTATCTCTCCCTAAAAAGTTATTGCTGCATTTCCCCCCTTCTCATGGAAAAGGGAAGGCTGCCCCCTGCCTAGCCAAGCCTGCTCCATAAATCCAAAGGAACAAAGAGGCTTTACAAGGCAAGGTTACAAACTGAGAACAAAGGCCAGTCCTGGGAGGAGCGGGTGGGCACTTATTCCCACCCACTCCCCGGAAAATTATTGGCAGGAGTCGAGAATGACATGACTGGTTTCCAGATGTGCATTCCTGTCTGGGTGGTGGAAATGTGATTCAG